CACTCCTCACACACAACATACACACTTGCTGACCCCACACCCGTGCACACCTCATACCACACACACATGAACACTCACTTGCTCACCCCAGCAGGCTAGCTGGCCCCCACAAGGGACACCTACCAAGTCGCACACCTGCACACCTGCCCCCAAGTGTATAGCCACTTGCTCCCCCATCCCCGCCTTCCAGCCCCCACTACACCTGCCCCAGCGCACACGCACGGGCTCGCCCTCCACCCCGCCCCGCCGCCTGCCCCCCACCCTCCTGCTCCCCGCTCTCCTGCCCCACGCGCCCCGCGCCCCGCACCCCACGCCCCACCGCCCTCCGCACTCACCGGCGCCGGCGCCCCCGCGTCCCGCGCGGCCCCGCGGCCTGGGCGCCGGCCGCGGCGCCTCGCGGCCCGGCGGCTCCTGGGCTGGCCCGACCCCGCAGCCGCCGCTTCCCGTCACGTGGGGCGGCCGCCAGGCGCTGGCGGAGGGCGGGAGCGCAGCCGTCCCCGCGCCGCCCGCCGGCCCGCGGTCCCTGCCGCCTGGCTCCGAGCACAGGCCGAGAAGGGCCCTGCTCCGGGCCTCTTCGTCCCCCTCCGTGTACCGGGGCCACGACACGGCCCGCCTCGCGGGGCGGCCGGCGGGCGGAAGGTGTTCATTCGGGGGGCGCTGAGGCCGCCGGCCCCGGGCGAGAGCGCGGTCCGCGCCAGCTGTGCGAGCCGTGGGGCTGAGGTCTCTTCTCCGCCCCCGCCTCCGCGGGGAGCGTCAGGGAAGCCGGGCTTTGCCTGGCTGGCTCGCCACCCAGTTTCTGTCACCTACACAGGAGGAGGGCGCTCGGGAAATACCTGCTGAATGAACGAATGAATGAATGAATGAATCCTGGGAAATGCCTGGGCCCGCGGCCACCTGACCAGGCGGGCTGGAGGTTCGGACGTACCGCCGGTGCCCCACCAAGAGCCGAAGGCACTGTTGGGATGTGCAGTCCTCGCAGGAGGCCCGCAGCGCCCCAGGGCCCCAGGGACTGACTGGGACCCCTGACTGGCAGAGTCCACCTGCTTGATAACTTATTTGAGAAGGGAGGCCTGGGACTATCTTACGCTTTTTAGGAAAATCCAACTGTAGCTATTCCTTTGGTTCAGGCCGCAGTGAAGATTTGTAGGTTACCATGAATCCATGAACCGCTCCTCAATATACAAAGTCCAATTTCATGATGAAAGAATTGGAAAGCTCCCTCCAGAGTTGTCAGTACTCAATTATTAGCATATAAAAGTCAAATTTTCCCAGTGATTTTCAGACTTTAGGACCTGCTAGTGACCTGTGGCCTCAGCTTTCTTACAGCCACTCTGAGTATTGTAAAACAAAGGTATTATCCCAAGTCTGAAGGCAGATACCAGATTGTACTCCATGGTCTTCTGTTTCAAAGGGATAAAAAAAGGAAAAAAAAGAAAAAGAAAGTGGCCAAAAAAACAACAATCTTCTGTGACTTGTCCTCCATCCCTACCCTAGTGTGACTCATGGCAACATAAATGCCCCATGCCCAGTGGAGCCACAGCTCTGACCCAGTGGAACCAGTGTCACCGGCTCAGCCTCCAAGGAGGGGACTAGCTTCCCAGGAGTGTAAAGCTGTGGCCAGCAATTGAGCTTCAAGGGCAAGCAGCAGTGAATGGACCTTCAAGTCTGAGGTGGCCAACAGCTAGTGGAGCCAGGGATTGGGAAGGTACAAGAGCAAATCCAGTCTCCTCATTTTACCCAGGCTCAAAGAGACTATGTGACTTGTCATCAACTGATCACTGGCTCAGGTGAGCCTAGAATTCACCCTTGTGCTTTAGCATTTTAGTCCTCTACCATATCACATTACAGAGAGCTGCACAAGACTGGTTACAAAGGTGATATCTACTGACTGCCAGACAGTGACTTCAGAAACTGCTAGTGACTGAGCAATGAAGTAGACGCTACTAATTTACCATTTTACAAATGCGTCGATTGAGGCAAAGAAAGGTGAATGACTTCCTGTGTTAATTCACTTAGGAAAATATAAATAAAAAAATTTTAAAAGGTGACTTGTCCCAAACCCCATGCTAGTAAGAAAAAGCAACAGTAAGAATCCAGAATTTAGCAACAGTGATTCTTTTTATATAGTTTTGAATGAACAGTTTATGAACAATCTTTGTGTTCTACTTTAGATGATCCAGGAGTGAAAATGTATAACAAGAAATAATTCAGACATATTTATTTTATGAAAGGATTTATCACAGGATTCTTATAATGGCAAGCTCCATATTATTCCATCTAGAAACATCAGTTCCTTCTGAAACTTGAAAAGTCTGTGTCACAAATGACAGGCACCTTCATGTAAATGCCTGTACCATAAATGTGCAAATATGTGCATAGGCCAAATTCCTTGTTTCTATTGGTTACATTTAAGAATATCAATCATACAGCTTTCAAAACAATTATTTTTTTTTATTTTATTTATTTTTTTTGAGACGGAGTCTTGCTCTGTCGCCCAGGCTGGAGTGCCGTGGCCGGATCTCAGCTCACTGCAAGCTCCGCCTCCCGGGTTCACGCCATTCTCCCACCTCAGCCTCCCGAGTAGCTGGGACTACAGGTGCCCGCCACTTCGCCCGGCTAGTTTTTTGTATTTTTTAGTGGAGACGGGGTTTCACCGTGTTAGCCAGGATGGTCTCGGCCTCAAAACAATTATTAACTTCACTTTTAATATTTATTAGATATTCCTGGGGCCCATACCAAGCGTTATTTTACAAAATGTGAAAAGATGTGCTCCGATGAGAACGATTATTGAAGACTGAGTTGCATCGATATAACGGAATATTTTCATAGTTGCTGTCTACTCTCAAAACTTAGGATCCTTATACTTACACATACTCTGTGCTCCTCACTTTCTCACTGGGTATACACTTGGGAGGGCAAGGATTGTGTCTATGCTCTCTGCTGTCTCTTTCTGCATGTAGAAAACACTCAACCAATTTTTAAAAAATTCTTGAAGCTCAATATTGAAATATTGACTAACCAGATGACTCTTTTTTTTTTTTTTTTTTTTTTGCTCAGGCTGGAGTGCAGTGGTACAATCTTCTTAGCTCACTGCAACCTCTACCTCCCGGGTTCAAGCAATTCTCCTCCCTCAGCCTCCAAAGTATCTGCAACTAAAGGCACGCACCACCACGCAGGGCTAATTTTTGTATTTTTAGTAGAAACAGGGTTTTACCATATTGAACAGGCTGGTCTTGAACTCCTGACCTCAAGTGATCCACCCACCTCGGCTTCCCCAGGTGCTGGGATTACAGGCATGAGCAACCACATCCGGCCTAGATTAACTTTAAAAGAGGCTTTTAATACTAAGATTCCATTATTCTAATATATAAGCTTTTTTTTTTTTTTTTTTTGAGACGGAGTCTCGCTCTTCAAGAGCACACATGTAGGATTGTTGGTGTCATTTTAGAAGATAAGCAAAGAAAGGTTACATTTTCGATTTTTTTTAAAGCAACAGCTTACTATGTGCCATGTTTTAAGAGCTTTTACATGTAATAGCTCATTTAATCATATATACACACACATCCATATACTTGTAATCTAGCTTCACTAAAATAAACTTTTTTGAACTATTATTCACTCAACTATTTCTTGAGCAGCTCCTGTGTGCCAGGTACTATGCCAAAGGCTTCAGCAGATACTGAAATGAGGAACACAGTCTCTACCCTCAAGAGTTTAATGTGCAATGGTTTATAAGGTAGAGTTGCTAGCCAGCAGTATCATCACCTCTGGACTCGTTAGAAATGCAAATTCTGGTGTCCCCATCCCAAACCTCCTAAATCAGAAACTCGGGTTAGGACCCAGCAAACTATTTTCACAACCCCTCCAGAGGATTCTAACGGGCACACAATTTTGAGGACCACTGGATTAGTGTGATATGTGGAAGAAAAACCCACCTAACCAGATCATAAGGGAAAAAATATTGTGCTCTAGAAGTTTGTTGATAGTGGAGCTCAGTTAGGAAGTATCTGAGGATGGGGAAAGGTTCATTCATCTGTATTCATTCAGCGTACACTTACTGTTCTTGTGCTGTGTGGCAGGCACTAAGAAGCCAAAGATGAAAGGTAACATGAGATGAGTGCTGTCATCATCTGAATGTGTACCTCCAAAATTTGTATGTTGAAACCTAATGCTCAAGATGATGGTATTTGGAAGTGGGGTCTTTAGGAGATAATTCTGTCACAAGTGTGGAACCTTCCTGAGTTACTGCCCTTATAAAAGAAGCCTGAGAGCCTGTGGCCCCATCCACCATGTGAGGACACAGCGAGAAGGTGCCATTTATGAATGGGTCTTCACTACACCCAATCTGCCAGCACCTCGATCTTGGACTTCCCAGCCTCCAGAATTGAGAAATGCATTCTGTTGTTTATAAACTACTCAGTATATGGTATTTTGTTGTAACAACTTGAAATGACTAAGACAGTGGATTTAAAAACAAGCCAGTAATTTAACTGCTCTAAATAGCTAACAACACAGGTCCAAAATGTGAAATATTGCTTAAACTGTTACCTTCACATTGAAGCTCCTTTATGCTCGTGTGTATGTATATACTTTATATATGTGTATATATATATATTTTTAGGAGTCGTGCTCTGTCCCCTAGACTGGAGTGCAGTGGTGCAATCTCAGTTCACTGCAACATCTACCTGCTGGGTTCAAGCGATTCTCCTGCCTTAGCCTCCCGAGTAGCTGGGATTACAGGCACTCAAAACCATGCCCAGCTAACTTTTGTTTTTTTTAGTGGAGATGGAGTTTTACCATGTTGGCCGGTCTGGTCTTAAACTCCTGACCTCAAGTGAGCCACCTGCCTCAGCGTCCCAAAGGGCTGGGATTACAAGCGTGAGCCACTGCGCCCAGCCTGCTCAAGTATATTTTTGACACAATATTTTGATGAAATATTTATAACATATCTTAACTATTACATTATGAACAAGAACCAACACCAGAGTCCTCAGTATATATTTTGTTCATCATGCATTCATTCCACAAACATTTATTGAGCACCTACTAAGTACAAGCACCGTGCAGGCTAATGACTAAGTGAGGGATTCGAAGGAAATGTATGGACCCTGTCCCAGAGGAATGCACAATCTAGTGAGGTGACAATGCCAGGCATGGCAGTGTTTGTTGATTCCCCACAGCTTTGTTCTTGTCAACTATAGTCACCAAATAAAAATGTGAATAAAACCTCAGGATCTTTGAGTGAAGCAAAAATCCTTATAGTTAGCTTAAAATGTTGAGTGCCTTATGGTTACAGATGACAATGTAGCGGGAGTAACCTTAGGCCTGCAAACTCAAATGTGTAACAAAGATAATTTTTTTTCTGTAACTGAAACCTATTTCTATTTGAAGCCTCCATTTACCTGCAGTGACAATAATCTTATCAAACGGGAGGCCCTCCTCCTTTCTTTCAAGTTGAAACCTCCATTTATCTGCAGTGACAATCTTATCAACGGGAGGCCCGCCCCTTTCTCCAGGGCTTTGTCAAGACTGGGGAGACTACCCGAAGTGCCAAGATGAGAAGAGAGAGACCTTAGGTCCTTGTGTCACTGGTCCCCACAGAAGTTCTAAGATGTTCTCTGTCCACCATTGTATTTGGTTTTCAGTCTTTTGGTTTCAGGCTTGAGGGTTGGAGATGTCTGTGGCTTCAATTCTCATGTGGTATGGCAGAAATCTCTGTGTGGCGGCCCTTCTGCCTGGACATATTTGAAGCATCACCTCAGAACTTGTTAGAAATGCAAATTATAAGGCCTCCCCATCAACCTCCTAAATCAGAAAGTCAGCAGACTGCAAATTCTCCAATGTTCCATGCTACAAAGGTTCTGCCCAGGAAGGATTGGGCAGGCATCACCATTCTCTCCTTCCCTTGGAGGAGAGAGGGTAAGTGAATCTCATTCTAGTCCCTCCTCTCTTAATCTCGATTTTTTTTCCTCAGATGACAACCCTTCCATCTCAAGAGTTCTGCTTCAGAGGCACCTAGAACAGTATTAATATAGTTAGTTTTAAGCAAGGAAGTACTCTTAGTTTTAAAGTGGGAAGTACTGGAAGAATAAAAAGACATCTTACCTGCCACAAAACATTTTTGCAGATGAACTAAGGCTTCAGGTTAGGCGATGGGTTCAGAAAACCGCAGAGAGAAAAAGCACAGCAAGAACCTGTAACCACTTTTTCAGACTATTAAACTCAAGGTTCTTCCTTCTTACACCATCATCCTGCCACTTCTTTCCTTCGATGACAATCAATAGGATACAAGACGTCTCCAAGGAGAGCCCCCAGAGGAGGCATTTTACACCCTTGAGCTCCAATCCTCACAACATTGCGAGATGGCTTGTAATTTCCATCTCAGAGGGGAGGACGCTACAGCTAGAGTGTATGTCCTAGGTAAGCAAAGAAGCCAAGGTTATAACACAACTCTGAGCCACTCCAAAGCCTGCCCTTTCCTCGAAACTGCCTTCTATGACCAATAACTTTGTAAAAACCAGCTGCCAGTTCTTAAACACTTACTCTGTGTCAAGTGTGTTTACAATCTCTACAATAATCTCCACTCCTTTGATCATCCTTCACAGAAAGTGCTAAGACAGCATTTTCCTGATGAGGGGACTGAAGCTGAGAAATTGAGTAACTCACCCAAGGTTTTGGTGCAACAGAGTAAAACTTGAAATGAGGTCAGGTTTCTAGCCCCAGATTCTCCCAAGGTAGCTGCTTTTGATACTAAAACAATGTGCCTCCTGGTGAAGGAAATGGGGATAATACTAATCACACTTATTTCACTATTGTAATGAAAATCAAATAAGATTTGAGATGTGGAATATGATGATGTTAATACCATGACGCTAATACATTTAACTCCAATTTAAGACAGTCAGATGCCTGCCTCAGCTCAGATTTAAGACTGTTCAATTTTGGGCAAGTCTGATCAGCTTTCTTGGCACCAACCTGAAAAAACTAGACTGAGCAACTTTTAAGTTTCCTCCCAGCTCTGAAATTCAGTTTTTAGACATAAAGTATTACATACATAAATAAGAAAAATTGGGAAACACTTCTCAGCTTTCTCTTTTTGAGGATCTCACTTCTAGTACTCTTTTGAGGTTTATCTTTTGGCATCCTCAGAGTTCTTCATATTTTTGTAGACAATGCAATAATTTCCAATAAAATGACACATCACAGAGGATGCATACAATAAATATTCAAAACATATCTGTAAGTTTTATTTTTTCAGACATGGTACCATTCTGTCGCCCAGGCTATCTAACTGCAGGCTGGAATTGCTGGGCGCCTGTGATCCTACCACCTCAACCTCCCAAGTAGCTAGTACCGCAGAGACACCACCATGCCTGGCTAATTTTTTTTTTTTTTTTTTTTGTAGATACAGGGTCTTACTATGTGGCCAAGGCTGGCCTAGAACTCCTGGCCTCAAGCAATCCTCCCATCTGAGCCTCCCGAAACGCTGGGATTACAGGCATAAGCCACCACACCCGACAAGTTTAAGTTTTAAATGTGCAAAAGATTTAGGGATATGTATCGCTCCCATGAATGATAAAAGAGAAGCAGAAAATATTTCTTAGTAAGTGAATTACTGGGAATTAGACTATAATTGATACCTACAGCAATTTAAAAACTTCACTCTAGCTATTAATACATGCAGAAAAAATGTAGTTGGATTTTATGCTTGCTACTTCCTCACTCTTGAGTAAATTATCCTTTCTATGCATCAGTTTCCTCATCTGAAAAATAGGCATTCTGGTAATACACACCTCATTAGGCTGTTCTGAGGAATGTGATAATACACGTAAAACGCAGTCCCTGGCACACTGTAAATGTCTAACAAACGTTTGGCGGTTATTACTGGCGTTTCCCAGCCGGTTATTATTTTTTACATGTGAGCAGGTTAATTCAGAGCGTTACTTCAAAACAAATACTTGAATACCTATTTGTCCAAGGAGCCTGGGTTACAGGGAATTCACTAAATAAAGCCCCTGGTCTTACGTTATATAGAAGGGCGATGAAGAGACAAGAAACAGATTAAACAAAGAAAAGCACGATAATTTCAGACACAACCACTGCCATATTTAGAGTACTGTATACCGGCCCCCGGCGCCAGAATTCTTTCCCTTGAGGCTGCCCCAGGAATCCCTTTGACCTCTGCCCTTGGACGTCACAGAAAGCGCGACCAATCGTCGCCGGCTCCCGGAGCTTCACTCTTCCCTCCTTTCCTGCAAAACTTGACACGCCATTTGTTTCCACGTCTGACATCGTTCTCTTTTCTCTGGTCTCTGGGAGCTTTTGCAAGCTGGACCAGGCCCCAACACTCGCACCAGCTGCGAAAGAAAGAGCCCCGCATGCGGCGCACTCAGAGTGACGACACACTCGAGTCTCCGCCCGGGTACGTCACTTCCGGAACGCTTCCTTCGCGGGGCTTTGTGGGTAGCCGACTGGGGTCTCCTGGCGACGACGATGGCGGGGGATGTGGGCGGTCGCAGCTGCACGGACTCGGAACTGCTGCTGCACCCGGAGCTGCTGTCCCAAGAGTTCCTTCTCCTCACTCTAGAGCAGGTTGGGCGCGCCGGATCGGAGGGAGGGAGGGAAGGAGGGCGGGCGAGTGGGCCTTCCCAGGTGAGGCGCTTGCACCTGAGCTTGCCTTAAGTAGCCCTCGGCAACCACTGACACTCCCGCCGGGTTTGTGCCACTCTCCACCCACGCAAACCAGCCAGCTGTCCCCTCGCTCCCGCTCCTCGCCTCCTCTCCGAAAAAGAGACGTCCGTAGAATATCAGGAATGCTTGGGAAATAGGGCTTATCTATCTGAGTCCCGATGGCTTGTAAAGAGGAATCCCAGGCGACACCCCCTGCCTGTGTGTAAGCACCGACCTGAGGAAGAAAGGAAGTGGGGAAGAAGCGTAGAATAGACATGGAAGGTAGAAATCATGGACTGTCAGGACTGGAAAGCATCTGAGAAGCCGTCCATTGCACACCCTCTCTAATCGTTTAAAGATGATTAAACAGTTCTAGAGAGATGAAGTGACTTGTTTAAGGTCACAGCATCTGTAAATGGTACTGCCCGGGGGAGAATTCAGGGCTCCTGGCTCTCCATGTAGTGCGTGCTCTTTTCCACCTGGTGTGGCCTGTAGTAATAGGAGAAAAATGAGAAAGGAAAAAAGTGATGTTTTAAGTGATAGAGAATTACTGAAAGTTTCCTTGGGGTTTATGTAGCGTATTTTGTTGTTTTCCATATGGTTTTCCCCTGGTACCCTATCTTTCTTGAATTTCAAGTCCTCTTGCCAAGTAGAGCTTATTTTAATTATGGTAGTAAGTTTTTACCTGTGGTTATCAAACTTTTTAGGTACTTAAGAATCCGTCGAGGGCTTGCTAAAACACAGATTGATGGGCTCCGTCCCCTGTTTCTCGTTCAGTAGTTCCGGAATGTGGCCTGAAATTTTGCATTTTTAACCAGCTGGTTGCTGGCCTAGACAGCACGCTTTGAGAACAGCTGTCCTAAGGCAATACTTTCCAAAGTAACGGGCCTGTGAATTCTCTGGGAATGTTGTCCAAGAGAATCCTGGGAGTTTCCCCTACCTCTGAGTGAGTACAGGGTAAAAATAGGTGAGTCCAATATACGAAAGAGAAGTAAAATGTGCTTTTATTAGTTTTTGTTAGAGGATATAGGCTTGTCAGTTGTACTGTTTAATGTTTTCAATGTAATGTTTTCAAGCCTTTCTGAGTTGAAATTGAAGAGCCTGTGATCTCATTTCCATTCTCATTTTTCCTTCTTAAATCCAAACTCTGTCTTCATGACTACTACTGTGCTTATGCTGTGGTTTTCATGATGTCAAGAACAAATTGGAAAATGAGGAGGAATTTGGTGATTTAGATAGAGGTGGTTGGACAGTGACTGGAGGCTTACTTGAAAGGACCAGTGAAAATGGGGTGCAGGCTTTTCTAATGATGTACTGCTACTGTCATCAGTACGGGGATAACAGTTTCTATCTGTGGTATTATTTGAAATCTTAGTAGTTAACTTCAATTTAGGAAGCACCAGATTAGAGAAGCACGAGAAATATAAGACAGACTGAGACCTTCATCCCACTAATCTGATCATGATAGTAACACTCAAAGTAGCTTATTGACAGAATGTGGTGATTGTTAATCATTGTTAGCTTTCTTTTGTCTGTTTTTCCCGGGCAGTCTCCCGTTTTCAATCCCCTTTGTATATTAAGATAATATTACTGGAAATGATCTTTCATGCTTGGTGTGTTGGCTGAGCAGTTGTGGACAGCAATCCTTGTCACACTGAGAAAATATGACCATTATCTTTAAGATGAGGCTGAACCTCATATTTACAGGATTCAACCTATAACACTGCCTCTGAGTGCACGTGTTTTGTGAAAATGGTTTTTTATAATTTGTTATTTAAGCAGTCATGTTTTACCCTGTTAGGTAAGGTGGTTACTTACTAAAATCAAAAATGTTGTTTTGAAATTGCTTTTGTTTCCTTTCCCGCAGAAGAACATAGCTGTTGAAACTGATGTAAGAGTAAACAAAGACAGTCTTACTGACCTTTATGTCCAGCATGCAATACCATTGCCTCAGAGGGATTTGCCGAAGAATAGATGGGGGAAAATGATGGAAAAGAAAAGAGAACAACATGAGATTAAAAATGAGACTAAAAGGTACTTTTTGGTGGTTCTGGTTTTCAATTTATCTTATATAACTAAACAGTTATTGATTTTTCCTGAAGTAAACTTAAGTAAAAAAGTTATTTACTCAATAACTATCTATTGAGCACCAGGCACTGTCCGTATAGCAGTGAATAAAACTGACAAAATTCCCTGCTCATATTTTTGTTGGGAGAAACATAATAACACAGTTAAGATATGGTATTGTTATATAGTAATAAAGACCAGGGAGAAAGATTACAATTTTTGGTAAATTGTCCAGGAACGATCTTAGTGAGAAATGACATTTTAGTAGAGAGACCTGTAGGAAGAAGAGAACAAGCTAGCATTCCAGGCAGAATACAAGAGGCTGGATCTGGAATGTGCCCATCGTATACCAGAAACAACAAAGCAGCCATCAGGGCTGGATGGCGAAGTAGGAGGAACGAGTTGTATTGGGGGCCAACGGGAGAGGTTGTCAGATCATGTAAAGCTTTGTAAGTCATTGTAAGGAATTTGGCTTTACTCTGAGATGAGAAGCCACTAGAAGGTTTTAAGCAGAGTGGTGACATCATTAGATGTACATTTTGACAGGAGACTCTGGCTGCTGTCCTAAGAAGTGATTTAAGGTGTGTGGGGAGGGAATGGGCGTGTATAAGAGTGGAAGCAGGGAAACAAATTAGAAGGCTATACTGTAATCCAGGCAATAGATGGCGGCAGCTTTGACTACAGTAGTAAATTTGGTAGGTTGGAGCATGCATGTTTGAAGATAGAGCCAATAGGATTTCCTGAATTTTGAGAAAAAAGTCAAGTCAGGTAAAACTCTAAAGTCTTTGAATAATACACAAATGAAGGGCCTGTTAACTAGCTTAAGTTATGCTATTTAAAATTATTTAATTTCAAAAAAATTTTTATAAAACCACAAGCAAGTGATTTTTCTTTTTTAAAGAAAATTACATGTGATTAATCAGTGTTGTTGATTGGTTAATAAGTACAAAGTGTCCTAAGATCTTTAAGTGAACTCTTCTATGCCTATTATATCTCAAGTGGATACTATCGATCAATTAATTTTTTTAGCACCTTCTATTTGTAAGACACCATCATAGGCAATCCACTAGAAGCAGTGAGAGAATACAGAGTAGGAAGGTGGGGGTAAAGGGGAGTATGTTCCTCTGAGTTTTAGTCTCTGTTTTACAAAGAAAAACTTAAGGATTGAGATTATTCTCCAAGTACGAAGAATACATGTCTCCTCATTGTCTTTTGGAAAATACACAGTCTGACCTTTGATCAAGAATGCATTTCAGATTGACCATCATTTTAGCTTGGTGGTTACTTTTACTTGTACAGATTATGTAGTGGTGTTAACTTTCATAAATATGGCTTACACTGCATATGACTTTTAATTTACTTTTGCTGTTATTCAGCCAGTATTTTCCTCTTGATCAGCACATTCAGGCATATTGTTCTAGTAAGCAAAACTTTATGTGCTGGTCATAGTTTCCTTTGAAGCAATCTTCGTACAACTGTCTTGATTAGTCCCCCAAAATCATTTCGGAAAGGATCTTTGACTGTTTTTTAAATTCACAATTGGATCAGAGCATTAGAACTGGAAGGATCCAAGAGATCATCTTGTATTGTTGAACTGCTTATTATCTTATCTGTGGAGGAACTGAGATCCTGAGAAGAGCTATAACATGCCCACGGTCACACAGAGCTAGGACCAGGTCCATAGCAACATAGCCCAGTGCTTCTCAAACTTTAATGTGCCTCTTGAATCTTAGATGAAACAAATTGTCAAACCCTGCTCTCAGTCCCTGTTTCCCTTCTACAAAGGCAGTGGGTATACAGTGAGCTTATTTCTCATTTTCTACCAAATGATGTTCAGTGATGACCCAAGAATTGTTGAGTTTGGCCAACTGCCTAGGAGTCTGGTTCAAAGGTGGGTTTGATGTATTAGTTCAGGTTGATGCCCCAGATTCTCCATTTCTTACAAGCTCCCAAGCTAATGACGTTGCTGTGCTGGTGCTGCTGGTCCCTGGATCACACTTTGAGTGGCAGGGCTAAAATGTTCTTCCTGATAACTGGCTATGTCAAGTTCTTTTAACATGTTTAATTAAAAGGATTTTTTTTTTTAAGGCCAGGCGCAGTGGCTCACGCCTGTAATCCCAGCATGTTGGGAGGCTGAGGCGGGTGAATCACCCTGAGGTCAAGAGTTCAAGACCAGCCTGGCCAACTTGGTGAAACCCTGTCTCTACTAAAAATACAAAAATTAGCTGGGCATGGTGGCACGCACCTGTAATCCCAGCTACTCAGGAGGCTGAGGCAGGAGAATCACTTGAACCTGGGAGGTGGAGGTTGCAGTGAGCCGAGATCGTGCCATTGCATGCCACCCTGGGCAACAAGAGTGCAACTCCGTCTCAAAAAAAAAAAAAAAATTTTTTTTTTTCAATTGATCTGTGATATAGCTTGAGGTATAATAAGTAGTAAGCAAATGAATGCTTTCATTATTAACCTTTACTATTAAGAGTGGAAATTAGGTTTCCAGGAGGTAAATATGAGACACTTGCCAAATTTTACAATTGAACTTGTACAAATGTCATAGTTACAATTAGTTTAGAAAATGCCTTGGCTTTAGAGACCTTTATTGAATGGAGTAGAATGCTGTGCCTCATTTGTAGACTGCTACTGTGGTAGTCTTGGTATAGTTTTATAGTTTATTATCCTTTTTCAATAATAACAGATTGCATGGTTAAGATAACCCCATCAATAAGCTGGTGTTTGTTTTTTAACTAGGAAATCTCATTTTAAGTTCCAGGGCTAGATGGTTAATTGATGTTTTAAAAGTAGCTGCATCTTGTGTATACATTAAAGCTAACTTTGAATTTCTTGTACATAACTATTTTAAACTTTGAAATAAAACACTAGGAAATTCTTTCATTTAGAGAGAACATAGAAAATTCATTTTTAATAGTCTCACTTAGAATAGATTAGTCTTATCAAGAAATCTTTTTGTTTACTGTTTATTTTAACTTGAATTCCAGTGAACTTGAATTCCAGATGGTATTTTTCAAGAGTGCATCTCTTTGATTTCAGGAGTAGTACTGTAGATGGGTTAAGGAAAAGACCCCTCATCGTATTTGATGGAAGTTCAACAAGTACAAGCATAAAAGTGAAAAAGACAGAGAATGGAGATAATGATCGACTCAAGCCTCCCCCTCAGGCAAGCTTTACCAGTAATGCCTTTAGAAAATTATCAAATTCTTCTTCGAGTGTTTCACCCCTAATTTTGTCTTCCAATTTGCCTATGAACAATAAAACGGAACACAATAATAATGACACTAAACAGAACCATGACTTAACGCATAGGAAAAGTCCTTCAGGCCCTGTGAAGTCGCCACCATTGTCCCCTGTTGGAACTACTCCAGTGAAGTTAAAGCGAGCTGCTCCTAAAGAAGAAGCAGAGGCCATGGTAAGTATGGGGGTGGTTTCCATGCTGGTAAGTGGTCTGAATGAAACCTGAGCAGTCTGCCTGATGACGGGAGGTGGGTTGACTGTGCTACATTCTGTTCTTGAACCCTTTTGATGGTCTGTCCAATTTGTATAATACATCTCATTACTCCAGTACTTGAATCCTGGAATTTTAAAATCCGTGGTGATTAATGTTTTTAAAAGTTCACTCAAGTTATTTCTGCTTAAATACGTAGAGAGAGGAGCTGTTAGGCAGTTTTCCTAGATTTTTCTCATTTAATTCCTTTAACTGTCTTGGAACTAAAACAGATAAATATTCCTTTATTAGCAGGGTTTAGAACATTAAGTAATTTGTCCAGGGTCACACATTTATTAAGTAGCATTTGGGGCCTGACCTTAAGTCTCTCTTAAACCCACACCTTAAACCCACACCATACCTTAAACCCACACCAGAATCTTTTTAAGATTTACCACTTGCCTCGCCTGCTGCTCAAGTTACCTCGCTTTGTGGGGATAGCCGAAGTTGGGGAAATCTATTATGTTGCGCTCTACTATGTTGAGTCATTTGGATGCTTGTTGGCAAATTTGGTGCAGTTAACACAATGTATTAGAGTTTAATTTGTGAGATGAGTTTTTATATATACATATATATATGTAATATATATAGGCTCTTCAGAAAAGTACTTTTACTTTTAAATACCTAGTAGTTTAATAGCCGTTATTCCTGTAGTATACTTTGGCTTTGGTATTATTATCATCTAATCATGTATCAAAGGGATCAAAACTCGGAAAATTCAAACATTCTAAAATAGTAGACCCTGGGAAAAGAAAACCACCTGACTTGGTCATGAGTTTTTTACTTTCATGAGTTCATTGACTCCTGTCAGTAACCCTATGAAGTAGGCATCTTCGTTATTCCTATTTCACAGATAAGGAAACAGAAACTTAGTAAATTAAATAAGTTTGTCCAGAGTTCCGGAGTTATTAGTAAGCGACCGGACTGCAATTTGAATTTAGGTTTCTTCGATCCCAGGGCACACACTCCGGAGGCCATGCTTCCTCCATACACCCTTCAGCTACTTTTGTAGGAGAGAGGAGGAAGGTGTGGGATAAGAGTTAGAAGAATAAAGCTACATCTCAAATATTGCCATAAGGAGTAAGCCTCAGAATTTTTTTTTTCCAGGCTGTTAAACAGCATTTCTCTACCCTAGAAAATTTTACTCTTTTATAGATACGAGATACATATTTTTGTAGAGACAGGGTTTCACCAAACCTCTTGGCCAGGCTGGTCTCAAACTCCTGACCTCAAGTGATCCGCCTGACTCGGCCTCACAGAGTGCTGAGATTACAGACGTGAGCTGCCTGCCTGGCCTGTTTCCCACTGACTTTGGATTGCCAAGTTGATGGGGGAGATGGGCTGGACAGGGAGAAGGGAGATCTGGAGCAGTCAGTGGTTTTCAACCCTGATTGTATGTTAAGATCACTTGAAGAGCTTCCAAAAAAAAGCAAAAAGAAGTCAGAGCCTTATCCCCCTACCTTTTATGGATTCTGGTTTAATTGGTTCTAGGATAAGACCAGGCCTGGGGCATGTTTTTAAGTGCTCTGAGTTATTCTAAACTACACAGGTTTGAGAACCACAGCGCCAGAAAACTCACCCCCTTCTCTTTGAATATATTCCCACCAGATGGCAGCAGTGATCTTCCATTAATATGTTAATAGTAAACCTTGGTTGTTTAAAATGTTCATTTTAGTTGTTTTCTGATATTCCTATAAGTATAAACTGATTTCTGTTCATGTCTTTCAGAATAACCTGAAGCCCCCACAAGCAAAAAGGAAGATACAACATGTTACTTGGCCCTGAAGAAAAGTTTCCAAAAATGTAAATATACTGTAACTGTAGTTTTTCAAACATGTTCATATATATTGACAATATTTACAGAAATCCTGATTATTGTGGAATTTTCTTAAGAGGTTCCAAATAGGTTTAAAAAAATAAAGGATTTATTTTCCTTCCCTTCTTCCCTCCCTCCCTTCCTTTTTTAAAATTCTTGCCTGTCTTGCCCTGATTAGGAAAGAATATCTTTTAAAACCAATGGCTTAGTATATGTCATTTATACTGACCCTACTGAAATCATTAGCTGCAAGTCTGCTGTAAAGCATCCATTGAATTGGCCAGGCACAGTGGCTCACGCCTGTAATCCCAGCTTTTTAAGAGGCTGAGGCGGGCAGATCACCTGAGGTCAGGAGTTCGAGACCAGCCTGACCAACAGGGAGAAACCCCGTCTCTACTAAAAAATACAAAATTAGCCGGGCATAGTGGTGCATGCTGTAATCCCAGCTACTCGGGAGGCTGAGGCAGGAGAATCGCTTGAACCCAGGAGGTGGAGGTTGCGATGAGCTAAGATCATGCCGTTGCACTCCAGCCTAGGCAACAAGAGCGAAACTCCATCTCAAAAAAAAAGAAAGCATTCAGTGAATTTTAGGAGTTACTCTCATTAGCCTTGTTCAGAGTCTTTGGGGAAATTTGAGATTTTTTTAAAAACTCAAATATTTCACTAGTTTGCCTGCCATTTTAATTTCTTTTACAAAGCAGAAGCATATAAGAGTTTATCATAGTATTTTAGTAAATATTGCAACATTCATCCTTAAAGGTTCACCAAGAAAAGCATCTTTGTAGTACTGCTGGAAAACTATTGAGAATATACAGATAAAAATGTTGTTCTTTAATTGCTTACATTGCTTCTTCCCATAAAAAGCAAAAAGGAATCAGTGCTTGCTATTGTTCCTTTCCTTGAAGTTGTAACAATTGATATATATATTATGAGTTGACTGGTCGATTCTGCACCTGGCCCATCCTTTAGAATGTTCTTGTCATGCAGCAGTCCTACCTACTGTTTTCATGAGCAGTCTGTGATCTCACTCTGTGAGTTCAGCTATTACTCGCTCCGGGGAGCTTAATCTTTTCAGAATGACGTTGATTTAAAAAATCTTAGGCAGAGTAATCGTGTTAGAGGTGGTATTCGATGGAAGAAAGTTTAGAGAATTGGGAGTGGGGGTAGAATTCTAGAATTTATAAGAGTCCAGGAAGCATAGCAGTCAGGGGCAAAAATTAGTGTAATATGGAGTAGGCAATAGAGGAGCCACTGGAGTCGGAAGTCACTGCAGAGTGCAACATAGGAAGATGGACTCCTAGCTTACATGCGATTCCCTGCAGCTGTAATATAGACTCTTCCCACAGGGCTGTTCCGCACAGAATTACCTGCTAAGGTTTTTTGTTTATTTTTGTTCGAGTGGTATTTTTCACTCCAGTTGTATAATGGAAATCAGTGGGAAGATAGGGTTTACCTTATATTCATGAGTTCTAGTTTCTACTGTTCTGCTGTGTGTTTCTAAGCAAAAGCAAAGGATACTTCATACTTTTTTGTTATATGATTGATCTTCAAATTGGGATTTACCTTTTTAAATATGTTTTAAAGTAGTCTTATTTCTCTTTTGATTTGTTAAAACAAGCATTTTAGTTCAGCTATTGAATAGCCTTCCAAAAAATTAATTCAGCCTTGCAGGTAAGTATCATACTAAGACTTTAACCCAATAGTTTTTAATCATTTTGCCTTTATTCCAGACTGTAAATCTGTACACATAAGATAAAACATACTAAGTACTGCATAAATTAATGTTACAGTAAATTGTTATCTGCAGGGCTGATAGACATAATAATGTTGGTGGGCAACTGTGATCCTATACATAAATATATGCAAAAGGAGATTTTAAAAGTGCAGATTTTAGAGTAGATGGACAAATTTTATTTTATATTCAGTTGTCCTTTCCGCTTCCTTCTGTGTATCTCTCTTAGTTGAGAGAGAGTTAGCCATTTGACGATTTTAAGTCAGTGGGAACTTATTTTTAGTTACTCAATAAAATTAATATTTTATTTGTATTTTAACTTACAGAGTAGGTTGGTAATAACAGCTGAACTGTGTAACATTGTTGCTTCAAATTGAAGTTTATATTATGAACATTCAGAATCAATGCTCATGTAGCAGCATATTATTGAGCTATTTTGAGTTTGAAATGATGTGGAGAAACGCTAAACCATTTACTATGGGTTAACATGATCCCACCTTCTTAGAGCTTTGTTCCTTCTGAAGGTGTATGGATACAGCTTGTCTTGAAATGTCTTTCTCCACATAGTGAAGCATGCTGAATGCTGGGAATCTGGAGCAGCAGCCCTGGGAGCCCTATGTTTTGAAGTATTTTGGTTTGCTTCAAAGGTTAGAAGAACTTGATATGTATGGCAAACAACTTTAGAATACTAGTTACTCACTAACATAAGGCGGATAATGTTGCTCTTGATTCTATATTCCAGTAAAGCCAGCTTTTCTTATTGGAGTAGGCAAATGAATGGCATTAGAGTTAGTGGGTGGCTTGTAAGTTGTAGTTATAGTCACTTTACCACTTCCTGCCATTAGCAGGCATCCTTGTTTTTTCTTCCTTTCCCTCATTGTTCCTTCTTTACCCTTTCTCCTTACACATTTTCTTTCTCTATTTTAATTCTCCTTCCTCCTCACTGTAGAACCCAAGCTTCTGGCTTAGGTTTGCAAGTCTTATTGCTTGGCCCTCCTCATTCAATGAGGGGTGAAGATAGGCTGACCCCCTGTCCTCTTACATTTGAAGGATCATAGACTGCTGTGTGAATTCTGGAAAGTCTCAGGACCCTACAGCACCAGGGCACTGAATGACTTCTCAATGGCTGTAAAGACAGTACAGTTTTCCAAAGTAGCCTAATTCATCTGGACAGCTAGCAGGCACTTTGGAAAGCTGGTTCAGTTACTACTATGAGGCCATAATATATTTGCTAGTATTAAAATTCTTCAGAATTGGAATTATTATTTGAAATAATATTTTGGTTGACTTAAGTTTTGAGAGACGATTCTAAAACTGATCTAGAGACTCATTCAATAGCAATGTGACCTTTTAAAAACTTACATTAAGTAAAACTGCCAGTAGATTAAATCATATATATATATATATATATATATATGTAAGAGCTTCCTCTATTTACTACTGTTGAACTTCAGTAATTTTTAGAGGCTAAATGATGGTCAAATGTTTTTAAGTGTGCTCTTTTATTAAATGCTTGTGCAGGTTTTGTAATTCAGTACAGAAAAGTTTAACCTTGTACATTTTGTATGTAAAAAGTCTTTTAAGTAGCCTTATCCTTATTTAAATAAACAGAGTAAAATTACCTTGAGTAGGTCTGTTGTTCTTATTAAAATGGAAAAATGCTCTGTGATGACTTGATCTGTTTTTATTCAAGTAAACAATTTTGGAAAGTATTCTTTATAGTACAACTTTCTGTACCTGGATTAAGATCAGATGTGATTTGAGTAGTCCAACCACGTCTTGCAGCCCTTCTTTGAATGAGAGGATGGCTGGAGTAGTCTGGTGCTGGGATATCATGGTGCTACAGAGCCTGATACGTTGACTGTCACTACATGTTGAAGGATGGAAATAGAAGTCTCTGAACCTTCCCATGTAATGTTAAAGCTCTTAACAAAATGAGACAAACTAGAGATTCAGTTGAGAGATTTTATGTTAGAGTGATCTGAAAAAAAGTTAATTTCTAAACTGCTATCTTAATATTACTGTATTTAGAGACTGATGCTCTAAATTAAATAACTTGGAAAAGACTCAGGTAACTTTCTACTTTGTCTTTTGTTTTATTTTAGAGATGAGGTCTTGCTCTGTCACCCAGAGCTGGAGTGCAGTGGCATCATCATAGCTCACTGCAGCCTTGAACTCCTTGGCTCAAGCGGTCCTCATGCTTCAGCCTCCTGTAGCTGGAACTACAGGCATGCACCACCACACCCAGCTTCTACTTTGTACTTCACACGTAGATTCTTCATTTTTTTTTTGTCTGGACAGAAGAGACAAAAGTCTTATTTCCACTTAGATTGTTTTTACTGAAGTACATTTTACTCACTAAAGTACATTACTTTTTCAGTTTTTTAATAACTTGATCATCTTATTGTGGAATAAAAAATAGAGATTTGAATTGCCTGTATATTTGTTGAGTACCTACTATGCTAGCTCTTGGGAATGAACAAGGCAGATTAAGTACTTGCTCTCATAGAGAAAACAGACAAGTGAACCAGGATATAATGGACAGTTGGTAGAAAATAAAACAGGGTCATGAAATGGTAAAGGACAAAGAAAGTAGGATGAGGAGCTATTTTAAACGCAGTGGTTAGGAAAGGCCTCTGAAGATACTGTATTTTGAAGAGAGCATGACTAAGGCATAGCTATGGAAAGCTTTCAGGAGAAGGATTCTACATGTGTCTGATTTTAGATGGCTGCATAGTCCTCCCATCAAGGCTGGAGTCAGCTTCCCACCACTTGTATATGGACTGGCCTTGTAAACTTGCTTTGATCAAGTGAATGCTTCTACTCTTACACTTGGACCTCTGCTTGCAGCCCTGTGAAAAAGCCCAGGCTACCCAATGGAAATGCATGGTTCTCCCAACACCCAACAGCTAGCACTAACTGCCAGACATGTGACCAGTAGTCACCTATCCCCGGTCTAGCTGCCAGCTAACTAAAGCTGCATGATGAGCTTCCTGGTGGAATCAGTCCAAATTGATGACACTCAGAATCATGAGTGAATAAAGTAGGAGTTGTAGAAAGCCGCTAAGTGTTGGGGGTAGTTTGCTACCCAGCAGTAGGTAACAGGTACCAGACAAGGACAAAACATGAAAGCCCTAAGACTTACGAGGTTCTTAGAACAGAAAGACTGGTGTGGCTCAAGTGAATGAAAATAGGGGCAATGGTAGTATAAAATGACATCAAAGAATAGGCAGGACCAGATGATGTATGACCCTACGTAGGACTTTGGATTTGATTCTAATACCAATTGGAAGCTGTTTGTTAACTCTGTTGAGACTTAACCAAGCATTCAGTTTAGTCAAAAATAGACTAGTTGAGTAAGTCGATAATAGCCCTATCTTTTATCTTCAAGTAAAATTAGCCAAATTTTGTTTTGTTTTTTTAATCTTCAGGTAAATAGTTTAAACTAAAACTTATTTGACGAACAGTTAAACCTTTAAGAGACTTTAAAATGCTTTACCAGTTATGGTGAAAGACAAATACTTTTCATAAATACAAAACCATCCTATCTTTCGAAGCCTTCTGTTATGTCTGTTCTGCCTTGCTATGTAATTTTTGAAAAAAACTTTTAAAAAATAAACTAGGACAGTTTTAGATTTTTGGAGACATTGCCACAGTAGTACAGATTTTTAACATAGCCCACACTGTTTCCCTGCTAACATACATTCGCATGGTACCTTTGTTGAAATGACTCATTATTAACTAAAGTTCATAATTTTTTTCGATTTTCTGAGTTTTTCCCTAGTACCGTTTTACAGTGCCAGGATCCTACCCAGGATACCATGTTATTTCGTTGTCATGTCATGTTAGGCTTCTCTTGGATGTGACAGTTTCTCAGACTTTCCTTGTTTTTGATGACTTGACAGTTTTGAAGAGTAATGGTCAGGTAAATACCTGGGGAATGTTCCTCAATTGAGATTTTTCTGATGTTTTCTCATGACTAGACTGGGGCTGTGTGTTTTAGGGGGAAGACCACAGAGGTAAATTGCTATTTTCATCACATTATTTTGAGAACACGTACTGTAAACATGATATTACTTTTGAGGTTAACTTTAATCTCATTTGGCTGACATAGTGTTTGTCATTTTTTTTCCACTATAAAGTTACTGCTTTTCCCTTCTGAATGTCACTTTTGCCCCCCACCCCCTCTCCCCCCGCAAAAAAAAAAAGGTTATTTCTATTTCCCCTTTTCATACATACTGTGCTCTTTGGGACAAAGTCACTTAAGGAATGCGGAGTTACTTTGCTGGCGAAGTACCTAAATTATTTGTAATTCTGCACAGGAGACTTATCTATTCTCTACCATTAATTTTATTCAATGATGTATGTCAGTATGACTCATGGATACTTAGTTTGTATTTTGGGTTAAAGTCTAATGTGTGTTTTTGTTTTTTGTTTTGTTTTTTAACTCAAATTATTTCTTGCATTGGCCATCGAAAGCTCTTTCAGTTAGCTCCCATTTCCTTGTGACTTTCCCCATCATTGTGTTTTCTTTGAACACTTCCTTTCTGGTACTATAGGATGCTCTAGTGTCATTTTGTATATTTCTTGGCCAAGCCCTAGAATGAATCATTTCTCTAAGAAGCCTTGGCTCCTTTTATTAAAAACTGAGATCTGGGTACTAAGTATGCTGATTGCTACTGGGGCGTCATTGTTTTTAGGCCTCCTCAACTGACAGAGCAAGGAAATATATGTATGTATATTAAGCCCTGTAGGTGTACATTTCTATAGATTTATCTATATGTAACCATCTGTACCTATAGTAGTAAAACATGAGCTTATACTATGTCTCTGACTCGATTACCATATTGATCATTCCAGACTTCCCTTGCATGTCTGTAACCTCCCACTCCAACAGTGAGAAACATGACTCCTAGCAACCACCATCCATTTACCCAGCAGTAGTTGCAGGAGTTGTTAGCCTGTACCCATTTGGGAAACGACTTTATCAGCTAGATGAGAGTGATTATAAATTGTTAATTATGAGAGTGACTATGTTCATTCCTTTTGCCTTTAATCTTAGAGACTCCAACTCATTTCTAATGTTGCTCAAGTTGTATCATTTAAGATAGTTTTGCAGTTTTGTTTTAATGAAAAAGAATGTCAAATTGACTTTTCTCTATTAACAACAAAATAAATCCCTAGACAACAGCGATTCACCAGTTTTAAGGTGTCTACTCTATACTTAGGCTCTAAATAAGGAACTGAAGTAAATAAAACATGGTCCCTGTCCTCAAGGGCCTTTTCTTCTTTTGTTTGGGTTTTGTTTTTTTTTTTTTGAGATGGAGTCTCGCTCTGTTGCCCAGGCTGGAGTGCAGTGGTAGGATCTCGGCCCACTGAAACCTCTGCCTCCCGGGTTCAAGCAATTCTCCAGCCTCAGCCTCTTAAGTAGCTGGGACTATGGGTGCATGCCACCACACCCAGCTAATTTTTTGTATTTTCAGTAGAGAGGGTTTCACCATGTTAGCCAGGATGGTTTTGATCTCCTTACCCTGTGGTCTGTCCGCCTCGGCCTCCCAAAGTGCTGAGACTACAGGCGCGAGCCACCATGCCTGGTGGACCTTTTCTCCTTCTTAATCCCAGTTGTTCAATCTAAATAAAAATTTGAGAAGGAATCTGAAGAACATTTAATAATTAAAGTCACAGTATTCTGTGCATTAGGCAGTTTACTAGTTTTATCTTTTAATTCCTTGAAGCCTAGAGAAACCAATCAAAATCAAACGACTGGATTATTCTTGTAGAAGATCCTCTCTGTCTTAGTCCCTTTTCTCCAGCTATAACAGAATACCACAGATTAGGTAATTTATAAAGACCAGTTTATTTGGCTCCCAGTTCTGGAGGCTGGGAGGTCCAAGAGCACGGCACTGGCAGCTGGTGAGGGTTATCCCATGGTGGAAGGCAGAAAGACAGCAGTAAGTATGCAAAGCACAGAAGAACTTGGGCTGAACTCATCTTTCTTTTTTTTTAGTCAAGAAATCACTTCCATAATAACTGCCCCTGTGATAATGGCATTAATCCATTCATGAGGACAGAGCCCTCATGGCCTAATCTCTTCTTTAAGGCCCTATCTCTTAATACTGTGTCTATGGCAATTAAGTTTTCAACACATGAACTTTTAGGGGAGACATTCAAACCATAGCATCCTCAGAACATAGTAAGTGAGTAAACTGCATAAATGCTAATAGATGCCAGGGATGAAGTCAGTCTGCTCTTATTGTTATAATGGAGTTCTAGTCTCAATTTTTTTTTTTTTTTCACTGAAAGGTCACTACATACATTTTGGCATGTATGTCACGTGGACATTTCCTTCTCAGTGTTAAAAACTCGTGTATTTAGAGATGGCACTTGCCCCATCTCCATCTCTATGTGTAAGAAAAAATCTCATGTTTTAGGGGACAGTAGGCTAGGAGTCAGGATTTCTGATTTCTAGTGTGTTGGCCTCTTCGCAGTCTTGAGTAAGCTTTATTCTTCCTGGGCTTCCACTTCCTCCTTTGCAAAGCAGATAGATTTCACTCTTATCCTTAAGACTCTTGCAGATCTTATTTCTTGATATTTCTAGAATTAACCTTATGCTTATCCCTGAGCCTCTGTAATCTGTCATTTAATAACTAGGCAGAAAATGAGAGGTGCCCT